GTAGAGAGCAGTTCGTCGGTTAGGGTTAAGCGGGGATTATGCAAACAGATTATTATTCTACTCTCAGCAGTACTTTATTATCATCGACGAGCGTCTAACAAGCTTCAACGCTTGAAAAAAGCAATGGCGTAACGGGTAATTGGACAAACGATGAATCCTTTCGCGGATAAAGAATCCTTGAGCAATTAAATGCACGCTAACGTAGTTGATCCGTGAAAGGACAAAGGCTTTGATCGAGCAAAGTGGAAATCGGGAATGAAATTATCGGTAGCCTTTACTCTCTCAGGAGCTCTGTTCCTGACAGACTCACAAGTGCAATCACTTTTGTTCCTTTACTCTTCCATCCCGTTTATCGAAATCCAAACTCTCATTCCATTTTTATCCATTGTATTGAATGTATGCCATTTTTCATTCGAGTAATGTGTATCAAGTATCATTACTGTCAAGCAGTTTAATAAGAAAAATAATAATAATAACACCAGCGATAAGAGATTACTAAATATCAAGACTGATCAAGGATTGTGAAATAAAAATGCCAAGATTCGTCTTCATTCATTTATTAATCGGAATTATTCATTTTTACAATATTTTTGCTATTCCATCGATTTCATGGGCGCCGTCATTCTTTAATAGTATCTCTTCGGTGATGATTCATAAGACCAAAAATAAGAAAGAAACTGAATAAAATAAGTCGACTCGAACCTGCGGAGGCATTCGAATTTGCTACAATTAAATCTGTTAACGAAATAGAATTCTACTACAAATCACGTGTTGAGAAAACCGACAAGAAACGAGGGAGATTCGTCGAAATAAATCAGCGTCGGTTTCCCCCTGGGCCAAATTATGGTGGAAGGGTATAAATTCGGGGGCTGCGAGACGACAGCAGCACACCCTCTTCCGCAACTTGCCGAGACGGGTGCCAAATTCAGCAACAAGTTCACTTCCGGCGAGAGATATCTCCTGGCCGCACGGCCACGTTCTCATCCCGCATCGGTGGGGGGCAAGAACATAGCTGCCCGGACGCGGTTTCTGTACTTCTTGGCAGTCGGCTCCGCGCAAACATTGTCACCGATCCTACGTCAATTTCAGCAACAAGTACTCACCGTTACATTTGACTCGTGTCTCGAATTCCATCCCCCAGATAGCTCAGTCTTACAGAGAACGTGGCTCTAATGTCTCGCCTGAATGGCTAGTATTATAAGAAGATTAGAGGCCTCGTGG